AACCACCAGCACCACAACAACCACAACCGCCGCACCGCCCACATCGGTGCCGACGGCACAGCTAATCACCCACGGCGCACCGCTGCTCATCGAGCCGAAGAAGCCGCGTCGCCGCATCGATCCCAACATTGACATCAACTTTGCGAACTCGGGCAACCAGCAGAAGACGGCCAGCGCCACGGATGAGCTGTCCAAGCTGCTCCAGAATCTGCAGGAATTGGAGAAGCTGAAGATTAATCCAGAGAATGTGCTGAAGGCGACGAGCTCTGGCACTCAGGCGCTCAGCAATCGCTTCAGCGTCAGCAGCAGCAGCAGCAGCACCACCACCACCACCACCACCAAGCCAACCACCAGCAGCACAGCAGCCAGCAACGATGCACGCGAGCTGCAGCTCATTCTGCGCCAGCTGCAGCAGCTGGAACAGTCGAATGCCGTGCGCAAAACCACAACCACAACCACCAGCACCACAGTGCGTCCGAGGTCGTCGCTGGGCCTCGGCTTGAACTTCGATGCGGCTCAGACGAATGCGCTCGGCGCGGCAGATCTGCTCCAGCTGCAGCGCTTGCTCAGCGACGACAGAGAGCTGGAGCGGCTCTATGAGCAGGCGCGCAACAACAAGAAGGCGGCCAAGATTGGCACCACAAAGGCCACCACGACGCCCACAACGACGACGACGACGACGACGACGACTACGCCGCGTCCCACCAAGGCGGCCGCTGCCGTGGACCACGCCCAGTTCGAGGCGTTGATAACGCGCGTGCAGCAGCTGGAGCAGCTGCAGCAGCCGCAGCCAACCCCACCGGGCTTTAGCACACGCAACGTGGCTGGCCACGGCTTGGCTGGAAGCCTGAGCCTGCCCAGCAACGACTACGCGCAACTGCAGCAGCTGGCGGGCACCGCACAGCTGGCCTACGACCGGGATCTGGGCCAGGTGGAGATCTCGACGGCGGCCTCGACGGGCAAGCAGCGACAGCGGCCGCTGAGCAGCTTCGAGCGCAGCAATGGACTGCTGCAGGATGTGCAGCCGCAGGACTACGTGCAGCTGCAGAAGCTGCTCAGCAAGGTGCAGGAGCTGGAGCGCGTGCAGCTGCAGGAGGCGCGCCCAACTACCGGCCATCAGCTGGTCACAGCCGCCTCCGTGCGCACCCAGAACGTGAAGAGCCTGAACGGTGCACAGATTGTCTACGCGCAGCCGGCGGCGATGCCCGATCCCGATCCCGAGCTGAATCTCAAGCTGGAGCTACCCGTGTACAAGCAGCCGGGCGTAGCTCCGGTGCACACAACTCCAATGCCAAATGCTGCACAGGCGGAGCTCAGCTCCAGCGAGGAGCTGCGTGAGTTTGCCATGTCCCAGCCGGCCCATCCGCAAATGAACCAGAACCAGAACCAGAACCAGAACCAGAACAAGAATCTGAATCGGGATCAGGACTTCAGGCAGTTCCAGCAGTTCTTTAGCAGCCTGGAGGACAATGGCGAGCGTCAAAGCTATCAGAATATGCAGCCCATCTATAAGACGGTGACGCCGGTTCCGGTGACCCAAACCGCAGCACCACCCGCTGCACCGCCAACGGCCAAGCCGACGCCAAAGCAAGCCGACTTGGCGGAGCTACAGAAATTGCTCTACAATACGCAGCAGCTGCAGAAACTGGGCGTGGCACTGCCCAACGAGCTATCCCAGCAGCTGGAGAGTCAGTTCCAGCCTAGCACCACCCCTAGCAGCACAACCACCAGCACCAGCACCACAACATCCACATCCACATCCACCACAACCACGCCCTCACCGCCCGCATCGCCAACGCCCACGCACGACTCCTCCTCGCCGGCGGTGTTCTCGCTGACCACCAGCAAGCCGGCGTCGCCACGCCCACCACGGCCCCATCCCACCACCGAGAGCAGCGTGGAGCTGCCCGTGTTCAGCGCGACGAAGATTATCGAGGCGGCCATCAAGCGGGCGGCCAATCGCATTGGCGTCTCCACGGAGCAGCCAATGAGCCTGGCTGCGGGTGCTTCCGGCTTCCGACGACGCAGCGATGATGACATGGACGCGGCCGCCGAGGATGACCAGGCTGGCGTGTTCGATGGCGACCTGATGGCCGAGTTCAGCGAGCTCAACTATCAGCTGGCCAAGCCAGAGTCGCAGCCGGAGGCCCGCGAGCAAGTGGCGCTGGGCGACAATCTGGGCGAGTTGCAGCGGCTCATCAGCAACCTGCAGCAGCTGCAGCAGCTCAACGTGAGCCTGGGCCAGACGAAGCCGGCTGCGTTGCTGGCCAGTCAGGCGCAGTCCCAGGCGGACGCCAACTATCTGCAGTCGCTGCCACCGGGCAGCGATACCTTCAAGCCGCGCAGACAGAGCGAGGACAACAGCACCACCACCACAGCGAGCACCACCAGCTCAACTCTGGCCGATTCGGATGATTCGGATGCTTCGGTGACAACACAATCGCCCACTCGCATTAGCCTGGACCTGGGTCTGGGTCTGGGCCAAGGAGATGAGGACACCGCCACGGAGTCGAGCAGCGATGGAGATATTAACACAAGCAGCACCACCGAGTCAAGCAGCTCCTCGACCACGGAGGAGTCACGCAACGGCTCGCTGGACGATCTGGCCAATTCGTTTGGGCCCGACCCCGTTGCCGAGGAGCCGCCACCGCCCAAGAAGAAGAATGGCTTCTATTTTCTAGCCGATTGGAATTCGTTCCTTGAGGTCGGCGATGGCGATGATCAGGTGGTGGTGCGTCTCAGTCCCAAAATTGGCGATCCCCGTGACTTCCTGGCGGTCTAGGGAGCTCTGGGGCGGTGCCAATCAGCTGGCAGTGTATATAGTTCTTAACTGTACCGTTAACCATTAACATAAACCCTATCTCTATCGTAATTATGTGTGTGCGCGTTGTATTTATTTTAGTCACTGGATTTTTCATTATTATTTTATTTTTTTTTATCCTCCGCCGCCTAAGGACCTCGCCGCGGGTCGTAGTCATAAGTTGGGGCCTAAGCCTAAGTTCTAAGAGTCAATAACAAATGGAAAAGAAGAAGACAAACCGAGGAGAATTGAAATAAGCTCAATTATTATACTAAATATTCTAATTTTATAGAGATGTGTAATAAATAAAGCCCAATGAAATTCGATCCTGAGCTGTCTATATAATGCTCCTGTCTGAGCCGTGGAATGCACGATCATTTTTTCCTACAAATAAACATGTCTTCTCTCCATAAATCATTTCCTATTTCCTATTCCCTATTCGCATGCCCACCCTTCCGTCTGTCTGAACGTCTCGAGCTCGAAATCTATAAGAGCTAAATATTTTAATTTTTTGTTGTAAATCCCTATGTAGCATCCGGGGATCAAGTTTATTTCAAATAATCAATAACTGTTACTCTTTCAATTACATCGACTAACAATGGTATCGAGCTTTAGTTATTAAATTATATCTTGTCCGCCTAATCGAGCTAGGGTCTTCAAGTATGGAGTATATGTAGAAACGCAGATCAGACGGTGCTCCGGGTCAGGCAATCCCGACAAGAACTAAATTTTCCCTAAACTCGATCGTTATATAAGTATCCATTTTTAGGTATGATTACAAACTACTCAATGCTGAAGTAAGAGTCGAATGAGGTGGCCGTCAATACCAAGATTCTAATAGGTCAGTCGGGCTTGGCGTAGAACAGAAGTTAGCAAGAGGCTGTTCGGTCAACAAATTGAAGAAATAAAATTTTGAAAATTGTATTATAAAATTCCGAGATAAAAAATTTAACGTAAGCCGATATACATATATAAATTAGCAAAAGTTCCTTAGTTTTTATTTTATACGAAGATTATATTTCGATATCCAAGTTAGCACCGACTCAAATGTCACTGAAACTTAACATCTGGCACTCATTGAGTTTTAGGTTCAAAACAAACTAAAGCCTCGTATCAGAAATACAGTTTTTCTTTTTATTTTTAAGTTGATATCCCTTTATACGTGTGCATATATTGCTCTGTGTTTTGTTTTTTTATTTTTTATAACCTCTCGAAATGAACTCAAAGTCACTCAAAGATGTCCCCACCGAAATCACCGATACGAATCTCGTGATGTTTATGCGGAAGCATGTGGAGCCAGTGCCGTACAAGACAATAATCGCCCACTTTTGTACATCGGAGTCGAAAATGGAGTTAATGAAGTCGAAACTCAATAAGACTTTGGTCATGTCCATCAACTCTGGCCTGATAGTACACTGCAACAATTTCTTCTTTGCTCGCTCTCATGCGGATGACATGGAGGATGTTATCGATCTAAGTCAGGTCGATGAGGCATCATCAGATGTTAGCATCATTTCGTTTTCCAGCTGCGAGAGTGTGGCCTATCCAATTACGCCTAAAGGTCAAAAAACACCTAACAAAGCTAACCCCTCGCCAGTGCCAGTGCCCAAGAAGCGGCGACAAAAGAAGAAGTCCAATGCCAAGTGATAACCCAACATCTACATTACCCATGTATATGAGACACCTGTAACTGATTTTAACACTGGGCATCTGATAGCCAAATTTTTACGTTTATACCAAATTTATGTGCTACTTCGCTAATAAATTGTCTATGCGAAAAATAAGAGTTATCTGCTATCTATAATCTATATAGTTTATACTAGAAGCTATTCTGAATCGGAAGACATATATTCATATATTCTGGAATCATATATGTATTCTAGGAATCGGAGGACATATAAAATCTTTCAATGGATCCATACGTATAAGCGCAAGTGACTTTCAATTTTGAATGGATGTATATGGTATACAGTAGTATCTATACGTAGAGAGATAATTGTAGGCTTTTAAGGTATATCCCAGACGAGCAGTCGCATCTAGAGCACCCCCATTGCTCGATAATTCAAACTGACAAGCAAATGTCTCAAATCGAAAAAAAAAACGAAATCCAACGCAAAAAATATATATTAAAGTAGCCCATGCCCTAAAATTCGAGCTCCGGGGCTAACTTCCTGGGGAGCTAGCTCACAACATTCATTATATTTCTTCAGGTCCGACAGAAAAGGTCTCGGAAAAAAAATTCCAGCTTTTTGAATTTTTTTTATTATTTTTTTTTATTGAAATATATATATTTTTTCAATTGTTGAAATTGAGCACAAAAACGAATTTTTTCTTCCAAAAATGGGTACCGGACGGTCAAAGCCTGCAGCTGCAAAAGCGCCCGATCGTGCATTTCAAATATTCTTGGAAATATTCAAGAATACCCATTGCTATCTAGACGATCATGATATTAAGCAGAATGCTCTTATGACTTGGCAAGCTATGTCTCCATCGCAGAAGAGCCAATTCCTGGTGAGTATTGAGTGAATAAAATGCGTGACCAAATGGATTTTAATCCTGATGATGGCGACGACGACCGTTTGCCAGAATTTTGAGGGAACGGCTCATGCACCCATCACGAGGGAGCCTTTACCCAAAAAATCAAAAGCAACGCGCAAAAAATCAGTTCCAGTTGCTAAAGCAAGGACTAGGGCAAAGCCGAAGGCCAAGCCGAAGCCCACACCGAAGCCGAAGACTGCAGCTGGCAGCAAGTCGTTGAAGTCCACCAAGAAGCCGAAGAAGGCTATCAATTCCACAACAAAGGAAAAGGTACCTATTCATATAGTAAACAAAAATGAGTTTGAAATTATTTCTAATATGCGAATCCCAAAGGTAAAGGCTCGCAGCACTCGTAAGACCAAGCCCAAGGTAGCTGAGCCTGCTCCAGAAGCAGAATAACCTGGCTAACGATCTCGTATGTCAACATTTTCTGCTTGGTTTGCCGTTCCCGTTCCCTATGCACAAGTTTCCAGGAAACGAACAACAAAAAAACAAAAAATGTTTGGATAATTAGTTTAGTTTAGCGTAGCTAGTTTGGTTAATTAGTTTGGATAGTTTAGTTAGGTAGCCAATTGGATCTATAGTCTCCCCGTAAATCGGTAATCTAAATTCTGGTGTTTTCTTTTTTTTTCGTATCGTGTGTGGGGCTCAATCATACATATATTTTTTTCGTCGTAAATGCAACGTAATTTGACATACACTGACTTAACCTGAACTAACCTGACATAAGCTGACGTTATCCTGACATAACTATGACATATGTAATATTATTACATAAAATAATAATAATAATAATAATAATGATGCATCCAAAGCAAGAAGTGTTTTAATTGCAATGCAGCCACGGCTCGAAGAATCCCGGCATGACCAGCTCATAGAAGGTAACCCGCCGTGCCTGAGCCACGGCCAGCAAATAGAGTGCGCCCGGTGAACGCTTTAGGGGCAGTCGCAGGGCCAGCAGCTGCTGAATGCCCGGCTGCTCCGTCTCCTCATCCGCTTCGGCGTGGAACTGCGTGAAGGGCACGAAGCCTTGAATGCCCCGATAAATGAAAACTCGGACGAGGCAACAGCCCTCGACAAAGGCCAGCAGCGTCTCGTCGCGCACCCGCAGAGCTGTTAGCTGCCGCGCCTTCAAATCGGCGGCCAATGACTGGAATATTGTGCCATTGGCGAAATGCAGCTGGACGTGGGCGCCCGGCGCTGTGGATGGGGCTATAGGCGGCGCATCTGCAGCGACTGTGGTGAGCCGGGCATACAGCAGCCGGGCGTGCTGCGCTGGACCCACGTTCAAGCGTATCGTTTCCACTGGCTGCCATTGTTGATGCGGATGTGGCTGCATGGCCATCATGTTGCTCGTCTCGGCTGTGTCCAGGTCCAACTGCTGGGCTTCCTGTATCTGATCTTGCAGCTCACGCAGCCGTCCAATCACCGCATGCAGTCGCCTCGTATCCTCGTCTCCGTCGCCCATCTGCTCATGGCTGCCAACGTTGGCCAGCAGCAGCACATCTTGTATAGCGTTCGACAGGTGGAGGCGCAGCGCATGCTGCTCCTGAAGCAGCTGGCTATCGTTGCTGGCCAGTCGCGAACGTAGGGCATTCAGCTCCTCGACCGCGGACCAAATCAGTTGCGCAGTGCGAGCGGCTAATACGCGACCCGGAGTATTTGGCAATGGCAGCGAGTCGGTGGGCAGAGCAGCAAATGCTTCGCTGCCAGACCTGGAAGCGAGCCGCAGTTGTCGCATCAGGCTTAAGAAGTCCTCTACGAGATGTTCGTCGTCGTAGAGATCGCTCTCGGGTATGCTCAGCTGGGTGATATTCACCTCGGTTTGCAGGCGAAAGCTCAGATGCTGCAGCAGGCGCTGTTGCAGCGTCTCGTACTGCTCCTGGCTAAGCGCATGAATCGCGTCCAGATGTGGCCGCAAATGCGACTCAGTTGTTGGCCGATTCAGATACTTAATGGCGTCCTGGTAGCTTGGTCTTCGCCGTCGCTGCTGTGCCTCATGCTTCTGCAGCAGCTGCTGCAGCTTGCTAGCTGGCACACCCATGGGCTCGATTTCGATCTCGGTGCTGGTGCGCCAGCTTTGCAGATTTGCCAGACTGCTGCAGTTCCAGCTGCGCTCCAGCTGCTCCTCGCTCATCTCGTAGCTGGTCATGAAACTGAACTGGTCATTGCCATTGGCACTGCTGGCGTTGCGCAGCTGCAGCACAGTCACATCATCGATGGGCCCACTCTCGAAGTTGCCAGACTTTATATACTGCTTGCCGTTCCAGCGATAGATGCGCGTCCAGCAGCCGACCTCGTTGAGCAGCAGATAGCTGGCGCCCTGTGGCGCCGACTGTAGCGCAAAGACCCGTCGTATATCCGCTTCACCTGCGGCCTGCTGCAGCGCAAAGCTGCGACGCAGCTGCGTCACGTGGTAGGGCAAACGGAGCAGACCGAGGAGCCTGGACAGACGCTTGCACAGCTGCTGATAGCGCTCCGCCCACTCGCTCTGGCGCCGGTAAATTTCATGGGCTGTCTGCTCAGCAACCTGGGGCTGCTTGACGCGCAGCCAACGTACGCTCCAGTTGCCGCTAATGACCTGAGTCGCTCGACCCTGCGCCCACAGGCTCCTCTCGTGCCAGGCACTGAAGTTGAAGCCATTGATGTCCAAGTCCGTGCGCAGCTCCGGCGCATGGAGCTGGGCAAAGTTGAGCGGCGTTTGCAGGCACAGCTGCTCCTCGTGCAGCGTGGCCACGTTACTCAAATTGAAATTGGGATCTCCGTTGATGGGCGCGGTGGCTAACAACGAGCCAGTCACATCCATGGACGCTATGACCAACGGTGTGGTCACGCGCTGCGGCTGCGGTGCCCTAATCTGAAACAGAAGGCAAAGAGCTACAGCTAGATGCCAAAAATCTGTCAACTAGCTTACCAGCAGAGTATTGGCGTATTCCATGGACAAATTGCGTCCATTCACAAGCCCCTCGAGCTTCACGTGTCCGTCAGTCAGATGCAGCTCCTTGGCGACCAATGGAAAGCTGAGATTTTGCTGCGTATGCAGCGTAACTATCCTCTCCAGCTTGATTTCATTTAGTTGGGCAACCTGCAGCGCATTATTGTCCAATGCGCCCGGGGCAAATTTGACAAGGGCTGCAAAATAAATAGAAATAAATTAATTAGCTATTTTCATAATTTTTTGAAATAGATATAATTTACTATCCGCTTGCCAGTCGCGATCCACGCGCAGCGTATCATGAATCCACTCGGTGATATTGCAGCCGTTGAGGAGTTCACCCTGCAGGACCAGTTGGCCTAACAGCAGCTCGTTCATCTCTACGGGAGCTTCGAAGTGCACCGGCGACTGCAGCGTCACCTCTTCGCCCTCCATGGCGCCATCAATGAAGATAATCTGCTGCAGTAGCTGCTCCAGCTTTAGGCCATTCAGCTCAATAATGTGAGCGCCACCTTGGATATGTACGCGACCCGTGAATACTTTGTGACCCTCGATCCACAATTGCGGCTGTCGCTTATCCACTAAATCAGCAAAGAATTCCTGCAACGGCTCTAAGCTCCGATTCCCCAAGTGACCCCGAACCGTGAGCTCCTGTAGCTGTCCTTGCGCAGGTAAGCGAATGAGTCCGCGATGTACAAAAGCGCCCAGCTGTGTATCCCAGTGCAACAGGCTTTCCAGCTTGTCAACGGGCTGCCCGTTCAGGTCTCCCCGTAGCTGTAGATGTTCGGCATAAAGGTTACCGTCCAGGTGCAGCTGGCCATCAAACTCTAATGGCAGCAGCTTATTGGCCAGCCGCTCGAAGGGCACGCCATTCAGTGCCTGCAGCTGGAGCGTGTCCAGAACAGTCACCGGTCCCGCAAAGCTCTTGGTGCCCACAATGAGCAGTTCCTGCTGCGGATCGGAGCGAAAGACTATATCGTTGAGCAGCTCGGGCAGCAGGCGTTCGTTGTAGCTACCCTGCAGGAAGACATCGCTGCCAAATATTGGTGCCTGCTGGAAGCGCCAGCGCGTGCCCAGCTTATTGGGTCGATCCAGCCAGACAACGTCGCGCTGCAGCTGCGCCATATTCCGGCCGTTCAATGCGTCGTCGATGAGCACAGCTCCACTAACCGCAATGTGCTCAACCTGCAGCTGGCCATGAAGAATGAGCAGCGGCAGCTCATCCAGCTGACGCAGGAAACCCAACAGCAGTTCAGCATTGATTCCCTGCAGCTGCGTTGCCTGCACGCCCATGGGCAGAATCAGCTCCTGCACCTGGACAATGTCCACGCGCGGCTCCTTGGACAGCAGCTCGCTCAGATTGTGTCCGTTTAGGTGACCAGCACCCAATACGCTGTCCGCGACATCCAGCTGCTCTGCCTGCAGGCGTTCGAAGCGCGCCTTGCTGAGGTACAGTGGCTCGTGTAATCTTTGATAGCCGGTGGAGAGTGGCACATGGTTCAATGCATGGGTGACGCGCAGCTCTGCCAATTGTGGCGGCTCGCTAATGAACTGAAGTCGCGTTGTTGGTGCCACAAGTGGCGCATCCACACGCAACGCCTGGGCCATCAGCTGATCCAGCTGAACGCCATCGTAGCTACCACTGAGCTGTAGCTGATGGAAGTACACATAGCCGTCCAGAGTGGTCAGATTATGCAGCGTCTGCTCCGTGTGCTTGGTCACAAACTGCTCAATGGGTATGCCGTTCAGTGTGCCATCCAAGATATGGGCATCCACTGGCAATTCCAGGTGCTGTACGTGCTTAGATCCTGTTATAATCAGTTCATCATTGGGATCAGCCGGACGCTGCACCAGGTCACCCAGCAGCGCATCGAAGCTGCTGTTATCCAGCAAGCCACGTAGATGCACGGGTCCATTGACAATCAGTTCCACAAAGTGACAGGCAGCCGAAATGCGATGCGAATCGGTCAACATGGAGTTCAGAGGCGCCTCCTCAAACTGACGTCCCTGGGCGCTGCCATTGAGCTGCAGAATGGAAAAGAAATAATAGATAAACGATTTTACAGTTACATAGTGACTTATAAACACCTCAAGCTGCTCCGAGACTTCCAGCTGTGTGAAGGTAACCAAACCTGGCCAATCCTGTGCATCGCTTAATGTAATTGCATCGGCGGGATCGCGGCCATTAATAGAGCCATCAGTGTCCACCATATTCGCAGCTAACATAAAGCGAGACAAAGATAAATCAGCAAAGCATATACGACGATAACTAGTTGCATAACCCACATAAAGTTTGAGTAAACTGCTTCGGCGAGTGAACGATAGTAGTGGTGCTGCCCTGCGACCAGAGATAGTCGTCCGGAAAGCTCAGCCCATTGAGTGCGCTCAAATGCAGCGAATCCTCAAAGACAACAGCCTGAAACGCAAGGATAATGGATAATGATCAAGACATGTCCAAGCCGAGATCGACTTACGCCTGCCACCCGCAGCTGCGAGAGCTGCAGCGGTTCGTGACGCCAGACCAACTGTTGAATGAATTTTGTCCACTCCAGGCCATTGATGAATTCGAAACTGAGATCGGCGTCCAGCTGCAGGTGCTGCTGTGTGCTTGAGGGTAAGGATTCGGCTGGCTCAATGGACTGCGGGCGCATCAGATCCAGGAGCTGCGTATTGATCGAACCGTTGAACTCGAGTGTGGCATTCTGTACGTAGAAGGGCACATGGTTCAGCCTATCGATATACAGCTCCTGAGCTTCAACAATGTCGAATTCCAGCTCCTCATAGTCGTAGTGAAAGAGTTGTGGCTGACGCTTCATGCGTCCGCCATTCGTGCCCATGATTTGGTGGTGCAGCAGGCGCATCTGTTGCAACAGCTCATA